ATTAACTGTGCATGTATGACCATGTACACATATGACCACATACACGCCAATGTGCAATGGCTCCATTTGGGAGTCCTACTGAGAAAAGAATTGCTGGGTACAGTGCATTCAGTTTAAAATGGGGTATACTGCCTTGTAGAGGAACTAATATAATTTGATCCCCATAAAAGCACCCCTAAAGAACAAATAGAAACAGTCAGGTGATAAGCACATGCCTCTCTCATTCCAGGAGAGACGTGATCTCTGCAGGGGGTACTGGCAATGCTTCGGGAAACACTTGGCTAGTCTTTTCTGAATGAGCTGAACGGATAAACAATATTTAAGACGCCTGATTTTCCTCGCTCAGGTCGTAAAGGGAGAAAACTTGCAGAAGGTACCCAGAGAAAATTAGGACCGCCTGGGATGGAGACAGAGATGGTTTTAATTAGAGCTGAGAGGTGGGAAATAAGGCAGAGAGATGACATCTTAATGAGGTTTAATGAAGTTGTCTGCTGATGGGGACAGCTGTCAGACAGATCTGTATTCCAGGCAAGCAGCTTTGTGACAGGCTAAACCTAAAAGGGAGGCAACGTTGGTGGGTCAGAGAAAGAAATCAGGAGCCTTCCCATCAACGGTGGGCGCTTCTCTCGAATGCTCAGTCATGCAGCGCGTCTAATCAACTGATGACAAACAATCTGAACGGGCTAACACGGTTATATCCACTCTGCTGGTTTGCGAACGAGACGAACGTTAATCCTTGATTCAGGTGCCTTCCTTGTATCACCAAGACAGGTTCGGCCTCGAGTATCTAATCGGTTGGGTTGAGGGAGGCAGGAGATCCAATCCTGACAGGGGCTTAGGCCCTCCCAGGTCCACTGACATCAATAGGAGTCATGTGTTGCCTCGAGATTTGACCCATCAGGCTAAATTCCCTGTTGTCCTTGCACATTGCACCAGGGCGAAGGGGCTCTAAAATGCCATCAAACCAAAATGGCAGTAGTGAGCCCCCATCCACAGCAGTGCCAAAGCACAGGGAAAAGGAAATCGGGTCCACGGCCTGGGAAGCAGATGGGCTGCAAGCATTAAAGAATCCTGCTCCTGCCATTTCCCTTCCCATTCAAAATGTACTCAATTAAGTGTTATTAAGCAGATTTGCAATGTTACAGGCCTTTCCACTCCTTTTTCCAGGCTGTCAGTGGGAGTTCTCCTCCCCTAACCATACATCTTCAATTTTAATAACTAATTTCTGACCTCACATCTTCATTTGCTAGGATCGCAGGCTAAGATCCCAGGGAAACGCCTGCCCTCATGTTTTTGAAAAATGCTACACCATTTCCCTTGTATATCAATGACAAGAAACCTAAAAATAGCTAGCACACCAAAGCCTTATAAAAGGCAGAAAAAAATAGATCAGCAATGAAAGCTACTTTATCATTTCTTGCAACAGTTTATACATCTTCAGCTTGCGTCCCTGGAACAGGCACAGCACGTCTTTATTTATGGTTTATTATTACTAAGCTGTATTCACAGTATAATAGTACCCAGAGACCATGGTCATCCCCAGTCTGCTAGGCACCGTGCCCATAAAAGACAACAAGGTCCGGTCCCAGCAAGAGATGTGAAGGAGGGCTGTCTGTGTGATTTAGCCAAAAATGCTCCAGTTTCTCTAGAAGAACACAATACTAATATCTGTTCACCACAAAGAATCAATGCAGGGATGCTGAAATGTTGTAACCACAATGAGAAGGAAGACTTGCTTGGCAATATATCTTTCATTGAGCCAACCGTACAATCAGGCGGGATGTTAGATGAACTTTTGGCTCCCTCAACTCTGGGAAAGAAGAGAGGTGTCATACAGAAAGACACAGAAGTGGAAGTGGATTCAGAAAGCCCCAGACCTTTGCAAAGTCTTTTCAGCGAACGCCATGAGAAAGCCTATTTCTTGGGTGACAAGAGAGCTCTCAAAATCCAAACTGTTCTTCCCAGAGCTGCCTAAACACTTCCCATTTGGGATGGAAAGAAGTTTGCCAACATTGCATCCAACTCAGTTTGCATCAGAGCTATGGGTTTGCAGGCCCTGTAGTTTTGGGGAGCCAGCTTGCCTGTTTGATCACAGCTAGGTAAAATGCGTCACTTGCTGGTTTGCTGGAAATTGAAAATGAATGAACTTAATGAATAAACAGTGACCTGCATAGTCTCATAAGCAAGAAAATGTGATTCAGACTCAGAGTGCCATGGCACAAAGCACCATATTTTCCATCTCCATTGCTGCAGCCCAGAGATAACAATGCGCTTGTTTCCATTCAATGGCTTCTTGCAATGGTTTCTTGCCCAGAGATGGACCTTCTTGTTTGAATTATACAGAGCTGCAAGTAGACCTTGAATTGAGACACCCCAAAGCGACGATGTGTAGAAAATGGCTTCAGGCCCTAAAGTTAGAGGAAACACAAGCAACTTCTACAGACTTCAGCACCGAGCTCCGAGAAATGAGTCCTGTTCTTGGCAAGGGATCTATTTAGCCCTCATTATTCGAGTTAAGCTTCACTGACTTCATTGGCCCCTTTGCCCAAGTACGAAGTAAAGGTTCTGGCCCAAAGCGATGCTTGTGTGATCATTACATACTGGATATGAATTGCCAGGGGGAGCAGAAGGCCACATATCTCCAGCTGAGCATTAGCCCCTGAATCGGAACAACATTCAGACATGGGTGACATCCACGCTCCCAAATGGTCCTAACAGCCAGAAACTCCTCTCCTGGAGGCCGGTGGTTGCCTGGTGGCCCTCTCACTACTATTTTCAGTAAGCAGACAGCTTCTCCCCATCCTTGCAGACCTGGAACAGGGGAAAAAGGCCTCAACTAACTTCTTCCATGATGAAAGCAATTTGATACATCGCATTCAGATCTCCACCTCCACTGAAGAGCTCTTCAGCTCAGGGGTAGGTGGAGTCTGGGTCCTGCCACAGGCTAGGACTGAAAAAGCCAAGGGTAGGTCAATGTTCATCAGCTACATGGTTCCTAAAACCTAAGTGAAAGCACTAATGATTAGCTCATCCCGAGAGATTGTAACTAAGCAATCCCATGTGGAGAAACCGATAAAATAGATAAAAATAAAGCCATGGGGGAGAAATAAAAGGTGTTTTATTTTTCGCTCCATGCACCCATTTCCAGTTCTGAATGGAACGGCTTTCTGAAGCCCGTAGGCAGGTGCTGTGCACCAAGCTGTCATTAGAGCAGGGCGACGTACCGTTCTTTGCCACCATCTCTTTCTTGACCCACTTGGTTTATACTCAGGCTTGGCAGGGAGGACAGGGTTTAGTCTGCCAAGGTGTAAATACCTCCCTTAATCACACAAGCATATTGACTCTGGAGTGTAACAACACTCATTTTGATAGCCCAGTGTCACAGCTGATACTTTCTAAGCATTCACCTGGGGATAGAGCTAGAGCAGACTTTCAGGCCTTCCCTTCTCCCAGACTGACCCAGCACACAGGGTCTCTGAAAGATGTGTATTTAATGCATTCACACAAGCCAAACTCTGCTTTAGTGGGGGGCTTCATTACCTGGCCTTGCTCCAACCATCTGATAGCAGAAGTCTGCAAGGCAGGGGTATGGGCTGTTTGGCAGCCAGGTACCACCTCTTCCCCCACCCCCATGCCCTCTTTCTCTCAAAAGTCAATAAGATTTCAAGATGCGCGTGTCTCACATCACCATGGAGATCATGGTCCAAAGAAAGGAGTGAACTGGGGTCAATTAAGCCCAGAGCTTGGAGATGTGCAGTCAGTGTGTTCATAGTTTTACTCTTCTGAGCCAGAACCACCATTCACTATTTTCCCTTTTCTTTCCCCTCCACCCCCCAGACCCCAGTTGCCTGTATTTGGCTGGTTAAGAATTATTGATCATTCCTGGCCATGAGCGAAAACACAACAGGATCTTCATGTACAGTCAGTTCCAATTTTCTAATGGAACCCATGATTTCTAAACGATACAAATGCAGCCAAAGAAGGTCTAATGGCTTGTAGCCGCTAGAAAGCTACCGCCTGCAGCCAACCTCTCCAGCCACCTTGTTCAATCAAGTGGATTTACCCAGCTAACCCAACAGATCTGGACATCTACTATTTCCATAGTTTGAACCTGTGCATTTTTAAATAAGCCAAGGCCCTCTTTTCCGGGGAATCCAGTATGGCTTGTGATTTGGGAACAAACCCATACAACTGTCACCATTTCACACACAGCTTTGAGTTCAGTGACTCCTGCTGACTTTCACCAAATTTTTATTTTAAGGCTTGGATTCATCTGAACATGGGAGAGCAGGATTCAGACATGTACAGTGCAAAACTAAAGCAAAGGCTGACATGACTTTCCCTAGGCAGACGGGACAAGTAACAAGTTTCTCTTACAAATCTATGAATCAAGTTGCTTTTTTGCGCTCATCACCATCATTCCCATCCAGCAGTCCAAACTCACTTGCAGATACAAACGACTGCTGCAGAAGAGCGAGGCGCCTAGTGGATATCAAATGCAATGAAGGACCTGGAAAGTCTGGATACACAGACATCAAAGAACCTCATTTTTAGGGCAAGACAAAATACGATTCAACGGAACAAAAATGGAATAACAGAAATGTGGCGAGAGAAAGCATGACCACGTGCACAAGTTCTTGAGAGCCTCAAACAAAGCACGGCCATCTCTTTCTGAAGGTCACTTCTCGGACAATAACCACACTTACAGGGCTTGTCCACAACAGCCTCGTTGCTAAGTCCAGTTGAACACAATCTTTATTAGTCATATGAAGATCAGGTTCCAACTAGGGACTGTTGTCTGAGCCTGCTCAGAGCAAGTCTAATTGACATGCTGCTTAAAAATGACACCAACACACCTATATATGGCTCCCAACATTGGGAACTTCTTAAGATGTTCCTCTGGGCTAGACTTATTCTGCCGGCCTAATCAGAATCTGTTACATAGTCTGTTTTCAGGGGTTCTGACTTGTTAAGCAAAACCTTTGCCTTTCTTCTTTCAGCCAGAACTTGGAAAACCTCGGAGAAGTTCCTACACTCTTCCAGGCCCCGATTTTACATATGGGTTATGCATTCGTGGGACCGATGGAGGTGTGCCTGAAGGTATGATAGTGATGCTATCAGAGGTGGGTCCACCCCACCGGGGTATCATTTGCAAGTTTCTAGTTAATGATATGCCTTTTTCCCCGTTGAGCTAAGGATGGAGAGCAGGAATGCTAGCATTTTACTCAAGTACATGAACGCAGTCTGTGGCATTTGGTAACTTATAGGAGAGCAGCTTTCTTGGCCTCATCTTGATCTAGGATGGAGCCATCAGTGGCCAGCAATAGGTATAGCATCACCAGTGAAGCCTAGGGAATGTAGACCAAGAGACTTGCAAGGGGCTCCAAGTGAGCTTATCCCTGCTTGAGAGCAGAACAACATGAAACAGTGCAAATCATGGCTTTCCTTTTCCTGACTTGGGCCTTGTATTGGCCTGGTTACTGCAGTTGCCATCCACTGAGCTCTAATAGCACTGAGTCAAACGTAGTAAATGGACTGGCCCATTCCTGTGCAAGCTTTTGGTACTGTACTAAAATCTGGCACCGACATGAAGGCTTTGTCAAACGGCTTTTCCAACCCACCTGGAGAGTTGGAAACAGAAGCAGTTTGCATGGGAAAAAAAATTAAAATCTCTGCTTCAGATATGGATTTTCCTCAGTTCTTATGATTCTCACTGAGAACCCAACTGAGGCGAACCTGGCTAAATCTGCCCCTATGCAGAGGACTTGCAAGAAGTCCTTGATGCATTGTTGCATTAAATGCACTAGACTTAAGTCTGTGCCCTCTGCACAGAATAAGTCATTCACCTAGGACAAGTCATCCAAATAATTTAACACCTTTCTCTTCTGCTTCTTTTATTCCATTCTATGCCTTAGCGATAGGCCACTGGCACTCAATGAAGCCCAGGCCTCCTTCCCAGAGGGAGATACCACGTAATTATATAGCCATGAATCGTGGAGCTCTTAAGGCTGGTTATGTCACAGCTCGGGAATTCAACCTGTACCACCGTGTCAAGGACATTCGCTGCAAAGAGGAAGACGGAAGTCGCTTTAAGAAAGCCCCACCAAGCCTGCCTCCAGATATGACTTTTGGAATCACAGCACGGTAAGTTGGTGGAGAGGGAAACCCTGTGGCTTTTTAAGGATTAGATTCTTCACTCACATCCTCAAGTCTATGTTTTCAATCAGTGATGCTAGTGCGATTTTTTTTTTGGGGGGGGGGGGGGGAAAA